GGGGATGCGCGGGGAGGGGGGAGGGGAGGGCCTTACTGGGTTGTTTGATGTGTGAGAAATCGCCCATGAAGGACCAGATCTGCTCCAGCGTCAGGCCCTTGTCCTTGTCTGACGTCACACACACACACACACACACAGGTGTCGGTGTGTGCCCACCACGATCGATTGACTTGGTTACTGTACCAGGTCTGAGTAGCCAGGCCGATTGCTCCCTCACTTGGCTGCTGCTGAAGCCCAACAGCACGTAGGGCGGCAGATGTCCCACACGAACACCTGACGGACGGACGGACGGATGGATGGATGAGTGGATGGATGGATGGATGGATCACATATGGGAGGGAGGGAGGGAGTGTGTGTGTGTGTGTGTGTCGAGCGAGCTTACCCTCCTCGAGTATGCGTTGGATGCGGTCCTTGACGAGGGGCGCTACCGTCACGTGATAGTGGAGTTGTTTGCCGTCCTCGTCTGCACACACATACACACACGAGCGACAGAGTGGGGACGAATAAATGCATTCGATGAGATGGACGCGCCATCGCCGCCGTCCGCGCACTTACCGGTGAATCTGCCGCGTACGAAGTGGTCGGTGTGCTGCCGATACCGCCGAAGCACTCTGAACCAACACGACAAACACACCACACACATACACACAGAGTCTCTCTCTCTCTCTCTCTCTTGATCCCCGTCAGTGTGTGTGGATGACGTTGTGTGTGTGTGTGTTTTGTGTTGCATACCGGTTGGACTGCTCGACGAAGGGCCCCCTGACGTACATCTTGAGTGGCGTGACGTCGACGTGCAGAATGCGCATGCAGTGCTCGGGGTACTCCATGAGGGTGTGGACCAGGCCCAGCTGCCGCTGACCACGGGCAGCGATCCTCTCAAACTCTGATGAGCACCCGACACACCACACCACACCACACACAAGGGGAGGGAGGGAGGGAGGGCATTGTTGCGCTGTGTGGTGTGGTGTGGTGTGGTGACCTTGTTTGGGGTTCATGATGGGCTTGCCGGGCTTCTCCATCTCCTACATCGGTCAAACATGCGCCGCCATCGGTCTCATGTCATATGATTCGTGTGATTGGAATGGACCACACCCTTCCCTTGTGTTATGTTCAGTCAGTGTGGTGTGAAGCCGACCGTCAGGCAGTACAGCTTGACTTTGACCGAGTACGAGGGGCTCAGCAGACACTCTGACACAAACGATGGCTCAACCTGACCACACACACAACACACAACACACAACACAACACGTCAATCGCCTGTCCGCCTGGCTTGTCCAAGTGTTGGCTGCACGTACCGCCCTGGTGCCCTGGAGTATGCCTGCAGGGCAGCACAGCCACACAGACACACACACAGAGAGAGAGAGAGAGAGATCAGGTGTGTGTGTGTGTGGGGCGGTCGGCGAGAGGGTGACCGACGCGACGCACCGTTAGTAATGAGCACTTGGTACTGAGTGCAGAGGAGGAAGTGAGCACCGGGGGTGTCCTGGCCGCGGCTGCGACCCTCACACAACTCCAATGACACACTGACAGCCGCACACGGAGATAGAAAACAAGATCAAAAGTGACTGAGGAAGCATCACATCGTGGTCTCGCCGCACCGATGTATGTCATCCAGCCAGCGGTCGTTGGTTATGCTGTCGTACTGGATGGTGGGCAGCCTGCAGCCAGTCCCGTCGAGACGCCCAACACACAAACACAGCTTGATGCGATGCGATCCAGTGGTGCAGGCCGCGCCTCACGTGGTGTTGTGCTGCAGGATGCCGGCCTTGACGAGTGACGGCGCCACCTTGTCGAGGAAATGCGCGCGGCGGCCGGGACACACCAGACTCACACACCAGCTGACCTCCAGCGCCTGATGGATGGATGGATGGCACACCACATACGAAATGACTTCCCGTGTAGATGTGTAGACGCCCCTTCTTCCTCCGTGTGTATGTTGTGTATGTGTGGAGCGCACCGTGGCGCCCTTGCGTACGCCCCCCTGCCCTCCTCCGAATGCGCGCGGATCGCTGATCTTCCATGGGTCAGTGATGCGGACGTAGTCGACACGGTTGGCCTCCTCGTGGTCGCATCCAGTGGCGTTGCGCAGCAGCTGCACACAACATAGGCAGGGAGGCAGGGCGGGAGGGAGGGAGGGACACACACGCCTTTGTTTGCCTCATGCCACCCACTCACCACCCACAAGTGTGTGTGTGTGTGTGTGTTTGTGTGGCAGCCTGTGTTAGTCACCTTGGGCGCGTGTGTGAAGTTGATGGCCACGTGCAGGTCGTCATCGTCGGTGGCGTACAGGCGGAGCGACACGTGAGCGAATGGCCACTCCATCCGGTAATGTGTGCCCGTGCCCGTCCTGCCCAGCCCACACATAGAGAGGGAGAGTGTGCAGATGTCTCACGGAAAGGTCGTGTGTGTGTGTGTGGCACTTGAACTCGAGGCGGATTTTGCGATCCGTGAGGCAGAAGAAGAGCCCGGCTGGCCCGTGCTTGACCAGGAGGGCGCCAAACGAGTTGACGGTCTGCAATCCAATCAACACATCCAACCAGACAACACACGCACAGGTACGGTACACACATCCGGTGGTGTGGTGTGGTGTGGTGTGGTGTGGTGTCCATCCCATCTTGGGTTAGGGTACCTCATGCGCCAGTTGGTCCGGTCCCCCCCACTGCCTCTCCACGCCCACCAATGTCTTGTACGTCTCCATGTGCACCCCAACGCCACTCTCACACACCTGCAGCCAACCAACAACCGCACACATACACAGCCAGCCAGCCAGCACGTTGCCTTCTATGTGTTCCTTGTCCCCTCCCCTCCCCTCCACCCACGATATTTCCAAAGGAGATGCGATTTCCGAAGATGGCAGCGGTGCGTTTGGGGGGCTTGCCGCGGTCTATCTCCACTGTGATGCCACCCTGCCCATTCAGTTTCTCCACCGCCCGACGCGCCGAATCTTCGCTGCACTCACACACACGCGCGCGCGCACCCACACACGGAGAGAGAGAGAGCGATGCAACACACCGCACACGACACACCGTCGCATACGGACCTGTAGAAGCAGATCGTCGCTCCCCGGTCGCCCGTGGAGGCCCTGCAGCGAGCCACACACACACACACACACACACACACACCACCACACCGACGGAATGCACTGTTTGTCCATCTCGTTCCCTCTCCTCTCCCATCCCCTCGCTCTCGCTCTCTCTGTGTGCTTACTCGTCGACCAGGCCGGCGTATTCTTTGCATTTCACGATGAGGTCCCACAAAGACTGACCGGAGTTCCGCACAAACACCGTGCCAGACGTCTGTTCCACACCCTGCACTCACACCACACACACAACGCGGGAACAGAACACACTCACACACATGACTGACATGGTGCAGTGCATGTCAGTCACTGTGTGTGAATATGTAAGTCCCCACCTCTCGTCGAGGCTTCGTGCCGTAGCACTGGTGGTCATCTGGCCTTATCCCCACACCGTTGATGTCGCAGGACTTCAGCTCCGACTTCTCGGCGGAGGACGCCATGGCCATGGGTAGCCCAGGGTGAGTGGAAGGGCGAAGCTGTCAGTTGGCCTGCTCTCTGGCTGACAGGCTTATCAGCCGCCGCATGCACGCAGATCTCTCATCTCATCTGCGCCGTCCTGCTGCGGCGGCACACGCGCGACTGGCTGCGGGTGTTCTGCGGTCCTGTTGCTGCACACTGCGCCAAATGCTGTTCTCGGGCATACGCTGCCCTTCAACGTGGCGAAAGCAGCGAAAAGACGGCAAAAAACAGGCGACGAGGTCAGATCGACTGCGAGCTTAAATTAGAAAGAGACCATTTCGTTTGAGTTCAACGAAAGCCGAGTGCAATCTTGCCAACGCTGAGGAGAGAGGTCGTGCTGTCGTCGTCTATGAAGCGCCTCTGAGATCTTCTCCTCCTGTGTGTTATTCGATGACGGGACCGCCCTGCCCAAGATCAGCAGCAACAGCCTGTGCAAGAGCGGCACGACGAGCCGCCGCGTGAGGTCTTATCTTACCTCATATAATCTCAGCTCAGCCGAGCCGCTGATGAGGAGTGGGGTTGTGTTGCTGCTCCATGCTGCTGTCAACGCGGCCCTCGTGTGCAGCCGGAGAGCCCCGTCCCCCCACCATGCCATCAACCACCCATCGCCGCGACGAGTCACTCAGAGAAGGAGCGACCACCCGCCACTGCCGACAGCATCATCAGCCGCACCAGCGCTATCCCTATCGCGAGCAGCAGCGGCCTTCGTCTCCCCCCTCAATGTGCGTCATCCCCCCCTCTCGCCACCGGGACCTCCAAGAGACTTCCGGTGCGCTGACGAACTCTCGCCCTGTCTGCCCTCTGCAACAGCAACGCCTTCGACGCACACACGACTGCCCTGCACCCCCCATCGTCCCCGGCCATCCCTCTCTCGCCCCCAGCGCCCACCCGATGGCCAGCGCGGCTCGTCCAGGTGGCCGCTCACGAGGCTGTCGCACACGTTTCGCCACCTGGATCGAAGAAAAGACGCCGCGTGGCAGCGGCTTCCTTCACGAGAGGTGCTGGTGACGTATGCGCTTCATGCGCTCAGGGGTCTGTCGGTGCTGGCGGTCATCGGGCTGCTCGTCATGGGCGGGGCCGCGGCTTTCGCGGCAGGACCCGCAGCCCCACCCAAACCACTGGCCTTTGGCAAAGGTAAGGCACACACGCGGCGGATACGACTGCACACCACACGGACTGGCCAGTACATCACCACATCGTGATTTATGTGTTGTGTGTGGCTCACAGTGTTGGACGCGAATATGTCGCCCGTGACGACCATGAGTCCCAGTGAGTTCGTGCGGTTCGCTGCGGCCGGCGCCATGTGCTGCGGCATGACTCACCTGGCTGTCGTCCCCATCGATGTCGTCAAGACCAGCGCACAAGCCAACCCCAAGAAATACAACAAGTGTGTTCGCTACGCTCACAAGTCAGTCGGAAGACGGGCACATTGTGGGGTGTGTGGGGTGTGTGTGTGTGTAGGGGCTGGCACGGGAACACGGCGATGCTGTTAGATGAGTTCGGTCCGAGTGTGCTGATGCGAGGGGCGGTGCCGACGCTGACGGGGTATTCGATCCAGGGGATATTCAAGTTCGGCGGCAACGAGCTCATCAAGAGGCTGCTCATCGGTGAGGGTGAGAGGAGGAGCCAGGCCAAAGCAATGCAGGCCAAGGCTTCGGTGGTGGGGGATGTATGCGACCAAAGATGCGTTCGGTCTTCCCTCTCTCCTTGCTTGTATTGTACGCCTGTCCTGTGTGTGTCAGGTGCGTTTGGGATGGAGTGGGCGTGTGGGCATCGCTTCCTCCTCGTGCTCATGGCATCATTCCTAGCCGAGGTAGGTGAAACAACACCACACGCAGAGCAGGACAGGAGCAGCATGGACACCCTGATTTCTCTGTCTGTCTGTCTGTGTGGTGCCATTAGGTGGTAGCTGATCTGTTCCTGTGTCCGTTCGAGGCGACCAGGATCCGCATGGTGGCCGACCGCACAATGCCCAGAAACCAAGTCGAAGTCCTCGGCAAAATCGTCCAACAGGTGAGTGACCGGACACACCAGCCAGGGTGGACACACCAGCAGACAGGGTGCATTGTCATTATCATGTGGTGGCCGGTGGGTCAGGAGGGTATCTTGGCGCCCTGGAAGGGTCTCGTCCCCCTGATGTGCCGACAGCTCCCCTACACCATGGCCAAATTCGCCACACAAGTAAGCTGAGCCACTCACTCGTGGCGTGGCGGAGAGGAGGTCACTCCTCTCCTCTCCTCTCCTGTCCTGCATGATATTCTTTTCCCCTTCTTCGCGCTCCATGTCCCTCCCTTTGTGTGTGCACCCGTGTCAGGATTACCTCCAAAAGACGGCCTACCTGTCCTTCTCCTTCCTGACGCCCCCCAACCTATGGATCTCGGTCGGCAGCGGAGTGGTCGGGGGCATCATGGCAGGTGCGACACCAGTACAATAAATGGGTCGACCTGAGAGATGCGTGTGGTGTGTTCTGTTCTGTTCGTGTGCAGCGATAGTGTCCCAGCCGGCCGACACGGTGCTGTCGACAGAGCTCAAGAAGGAGGGCCGCTCGCTCAACAAGGCCATCAAGAGCATCTACACCTACAAGGGACTGCCGGGATTCTTCACAGGCGCGCACATCAAACCAGCACCACAGCATAAACACGATAGACGTCTCTGCGTGTGTGAGGTGAGATAGATGTGTTTGGCTGGTGTGTGTCTCACTCACTCAGGTCTGAAGGAGCGGAGTGTGATGGACGCCATCATTGCGGGGGGGCAGTTCTTCATTTACGACTCGCTCAAGATCCTGTTGAAGATCGCACCCAAGGACATCGTCGCCAGATGAGACAAAGAACAAGAGAGAGGCGGAGCGGGAGAGACGCAGAGCGGTGTCTGTACAGTCAGAGAGGCCATGCATGTGATGGTATGGGGTGTGCGAGTGCAGTGGGCGGCGATCGGTTCACGTCACGTCACCCCATGTGGTGCTCACTGCACTGCTGGGAGGATCGGATCGCTGGATGGACTTATTTTTATCCCACACGGCGCATCCGAGGAAGCGCCGGTGGTTTCATTCATGTGCTCGCCTAGACGGTCCCATACACTCACGCACGCACACACACATTCCCGTGCACATGACATGAATGAGACGTCTACCCATGCCTGGCCTGGTTGCGGCCTTTTGCCGGCCTATGCACACGTGACGTGTACCCACCCATCGTCAGTCAGTGTCTTCCTGTCTGTCTGTCTGTCTGCCTTCTTGTCTGCCTGTCTGTCTTGGATTTTGCATCCTTATCGCCACCCACCTTGTGCGTGTACAGTCCCCCGAGCCACCACTTTTTCTCGCCCGCCTTGCCTCCCATACTGACATACAAACAAACCTCTCGGCCTCTCTACCTCTATCGGTCTCTGTCTCCTTTCTTCTCTCCTCTTCCCCTTTGTAGTTGTCTGTCTGTCTGTCTGTCTGTCTGTGGGTGAGTGGGGGCGCTCTGTGTGAGGCCTCTGTACAGACCAGACGAGGGGGGGGGGAGGGAGGGCAGTGATGCGATGCTATGCGGCGACCCAACACGAGTAAGTACGCTTGTGTAGAGCTTGGGATGGGAGGGCAGATGAGATGGCCGGACAAGTGAGGCTAGTCAGTGAAGTGATCCGCTCGTTCCTGTAGTCCTTCACTCACTGACAGACAGACAGACAGACAGGCAGGCAGACTAGGTAGGTGCGTACGAACGTGAATGCGGCTCGGCATATCCAAGGGTCCACACACGATGCGATGGATGCATGGGTGTGATATCGGTACCTGGTGGCTGGTGGGGCTCGGGAACGGAGCGACTCATTCACCTTTGGCTGAGAAGGGGTGGGTGGGATGGCTGTGGCTGGCTGGCTGGTTGGGTGAGAGATGAGATGGAGATGAACTCACAGCCGTTGTAGAGTGAGATAGCCTGTGGTTGGTGTGGTGTGATGTAAGGCTGATTCGCCTTGATTGGTTCATGCCTGAAGCATTCGTGTCAACGTAAGACAATTCGGTTTACGTGGCCTGGCGTGGCGGTGGTGTGAATGTCTCTCTCGTCAATTAGTTCCCTATATCTGCCTCTCTGGCAGGCTGCTCATTGCTGTCGGGACTATACACAGATTTATATAATAGTCACCACACACACACACACACACAGGTCCGTCGCGACAGCATGACACAGCACAACACATGGAGCACCACACAATGCCATCAATGCAGTCTCACGATGGGGGTCCGGTCCAAGGACACCACACCACCTACTCGTACCTACCGTGCCGACCAACGAAACAAACGGACGTACACACCCGTCTGTCTTATCACATCAACCAGCCCATGTTTTCTCTCTCTCACACGTACCCTACACCACACCACACGGCGAAAAACTGCCGATCCAATCCAACACCCATCTCACCCTCTCTTCTCTCCCCCTCTCTGTCTAGTCTACTAGACATGACCGTGATAGCTGATAGGGCTCGGCGGCCGGTAGTTGTCTTCCCTGGAGCCAATCTCTACAGAGCTCTTGGCGCGCCCCACATGCGTCGATAAGCCCATCCGCATCTGCTGCTGCACGGGGTGGTGTCGAGCCGGATACGGCGCCATGGTCGCCATCCTCGGCGGCGGGTCGATCAAGGGCGGGTAGGTGGTGATGTCCGGCGGCCCTGCGCCCATGGGGGACGTCCGGCGAAACACAGCAGGAGGGGGAGGGTGCCGCCGCAGGCACCGCCAGCACAAGTAACACCCCACCAGGTTGACGGTCACCAGCGCTATAACCACCACGCCAAAGGCCATCAGCAGGTCGTGCCACTTCTGCCAGAAGGGCCGATGGTGCGGTGCAGGGGTGGGCTCGGGCGGCTCGGGCGCATTGTGCTGTGCCGGGCCATCCCCGTCAGGTGCCAGCTGTGGACTGGTCACGTTGGCCGTGTGTGGGGGTCGGCTGCCCGCCCGCTTCCCAGGTGGCTGGGGGAATGGGGGGAGGGGCTCGGTGGGCAGGGCGTGGTGAGAGAGAGGGGAGAAAGCGGCGACGGTCTGGTTCGCTGAGGGCGGCGCAGCGCTGCCCTTCTTGGCCTCCTTCCTCTCGTTCGCCTCGCTCTGTCTGGCGGTCTTCTCCGTCGTCGAGTAGTGGACGAACTCCCGCCGCGCATCGGTGAGCTGCAAAAACAGGTGCACCTGCACCAGCCGGTTGGTCATGGACCGCACCACCAGATAAAAGATGTCGTCGCTCATGTCGGATGCGTCGAAGTCCACCCGCTTCTCGCACCTCCGCACCCCCACACTCATCCCCGGCAGCACCATGCCGCACGAGCCGTCATCGAGATACGAGAAGACCTCCCCCTCTCTCGCCAACCTGTAGTCGGGCTCGCGCATCAGAAACGCCTGGATGCTGTCATAGCGGTCGGCGAGCACCTCGAAGGACAGGGACGTCGCTGTCGTGCCGCGACCGGCTGTGTGGGCGAAGAAGCTCATCCATCCAACGTCGCCTGTGTGCCGCAGTGCGAGTGTGGTGGAGCACTTGATGAGGGCGCCCGGCCGAGGGCATCGCACGGGCACCTGCCGCTTGAAGAAGGGCTTGGCAGATGCCGTGTGGACGAGAAGGTGGACCAGCAGCCGGGCAAGGACGGAGGATGGCCGTGAAGGTCGTCGATTTGCAGCCGTTTCTGGTGATGAACATGGCGATGGCACATGGTCAGACGGTCCTGTGCAATCACCAGCAGGCTCCTCCATCTTCGTGGTGCCAGCCATGTCGGTCTGCACTGCATCCATCTGCACTTCTTGATTCCCCCAGATCTGTCCTCAACAGCATCAGGTGAGCGCCGTGTGACTGGGATCAGCTTAGGAAAGGGAACGGCTCGAGGTTGAAGCAAAGCTCGCGCGACCCGAAAAGCCGCTGAGAGGCATTCGACGTGTTGATGCGCTGCGCAGCATCGATCTTCGTCGTCCTTGTGCTTTCTGTCCTCGCCTGTGGTCCCGGGTGTTGCATGTCAGCTGTCCTTCGCGGCGCAGGCAAGAAGATGCGCGAGGTGATCAAGACGGCCAACGCCCCAGCGGCCATGGGTCCCTACAGTCAGGCCATCAAGGCCAACGGCATGCTTTTCTTGGCGGGCCAGCTGGGCGTCAAACCTGACACGGCAGACTACGAAAGCACCACTGACGTCAAAGTGCAGGTGTGCAGCAGCGCCGCACAGCCACTCAGGCAGATCAGATCTGACGTTGAGTTGACGAGCGCATTCCTTTGTGTGTGTGTACTGTAGGCCAAACAAGCGTTTGAGAACATGAAGGTCCGTGCGCTGAGATGCTGAGAGAGAGGATGGCCTGGCCACATGCATTTAGTGCAGTGCAGTGCATTGGCAAAGAAAGCATCATGATGCGATGCGTGCGTGTGGAACTCCCTCTCCCTGTCGTTGCTGTTGGTGTGCAGGCGGTGCTGGAGGCGGGTGGCTCAGATCTGGAACACGTCGTCAAGACCACCGTCCTCCTCACGGTGAGGCAGGCAGCACGGCACAGCCAGGCTGATAGCTCAGCCGACACACACACACACCCCTGCATCCACCCATCCATCTTTGCAACGTGCAGGACATGAAGGATTTCGTGGCCTTGAATGAGGTGTACTCGAGCTTCTTTCCGCCCGACAAGGCTCCCCCCGCCCGCACCTGCTATGCCACCAAAGAGCTGCCAAAGAAGGCACTCGTCGAGGTCGAGGCCATTGCAGTGCTCAAGGAGTGAACAGGAAGCTGCTCCACTGGGTTGGGTCAGGTCTTTTGATTGCTGAAGCTGGACAGGCAGACAAGGTGCGCGTGTAAGTGTGATGTATGTCGTTGCCGGTGATGATGGGCGTTGCGGTTGGCTGCGGGACATACGCAAAACGAGCCACCTCTCGACTTGCTGCTGTCTCTCTCCCAAGCGCGACGGCCACTACCAGCGGCAGGCAGCATCCTGCGTGATGAGTTGATGTGGGAGACTGCTCGGATGGATGTTTGATGCTCGTGTCTTGCCATTGTGGGCGCCTTTTTTGGCCAGCGGGGCGGATGACGCACATGAGGCTTTCTGGGTTCGTCCTCATCTGTGTGCCTGCCAGCTGTTGGGCTGTGTCATTATTGCGTCACTGACAGACTACACGCGTGTGTATCTTATGTTGAGAACCGTTTGACACACGGTGCGGTGCGTTCAGCCATCCACGTCGATTCATGGACCAATACGCTACGCTCTCACACACATCAGATCACCACATAGGCGAGGCAGCTCTTCACAGCGCGACATCTGTCATGTGCCGACCGCACCCACGCGCCTGCACCCGTCTGTCTGTGCATTGGCGGGCCGTGCTCCATTCCATTGGAATGGAGGGCCAGGCCAGGCCAGGCCAGGCCAGATCAAGACAAATGGCCCGCCACCCGGTCCATGCGTCTTGGCTGACTTCACTTCATTAGCAGACCACAAGGGGTCCCGATCCCATCGGCTGGCTATGCTATGCTGTGATGGCCGGTTGGAAGGACAGGAGGGTCTCCTGGAAGGTCGACTGCATCTTCGGCCACCTGTGACAGACACATTGTGCGACACACAGAGCAAAGCGGTGCATGGCGGGGATGACTGTGCAGGCGGGGAGACCAGATCAGCCGTATAATATTTACCTCTTTTCTGAGGTGATGCAGTTGATTTGCCACAGCTTGCCCTCAAAGATGGATAGCGCCACCAGCTCGTGGACGGTCTCGCCCTGCAACTCAAAAGTGTAGTAAACATGGTCGCCTGCACACAAACATCACAAGACACACACCGCGACACACAGAAAGACTGGTCCATTTCTTGCCCCTCCTCCCCACCCCTCCTCCCCTGCTCACGTGTTCGTCTGGCGGATGCGCCGATGAGGTTGCAGTTTCTGATTTTGGCGAGCTTGGCGCCGACCTCAGCGGGGTCGCCCAATGACTCCACTGAGCTGCTCTTGGACACCGGCTGCATTGCATGCCATGGAATAGACAGACAGACATACGCACACCGCAATGCATTCAATGCCCCCGTACTGTACTCGCCCCATCCATTCCGTTCCATACATTCCCCGCCCCGCACCGCCCCGCCCTGCGTGCCTTTGATGCGACTGTGATTTGTTCGAGCTTCTCCACGACGTCCTGCCACTTGACCACATACTGATTCTTGCAACGAGCAACCTGCACACACATACAATACAGACAGAGGTGAGGTGGCCAACCCACTTGCTCTCAACCCCCCCGGTGTCGTCTGTCTGTCTGTCTGTCTGTCACTCACCTGGTCCTCTGTTCCCACACACTGGAATTCGTTCCATCCCGAAGGCCGGTTGAGCTTGAAGCCCCGTTGGATGTCGTTGTAGGGCTGCAGCTGTCCCCCCATCCTGTTGGTCGACGGTGGCACCTCAGGGATGGTGGCGATGGCCTCACCAGCCGCCCACGCACTGCCAACACTGCCTCCTGTCAGCACGGCGGCACTAATGGCGGGCACCAGGGCGGCGAGGCGGTCGATGAGAGCCCGCCGAGACTCCTCTGCAGAGGGAGATGAGGACAGTTGCCAAGCAGACGAGGGAGGGGAGTGGGAACCAGGGCTGAGAGATGAACGAAGGACAGATCTCCTGAAACGAAACACACACAGCAAGATGGTACACAGACGAGTGCAGTGCAGTGGATGGCTTGGATCTGGGCAAGACTGCACACCTGGCGCTGCTGGGGAGTACAGTGCGGGAAAAGGCTGCGGCGAGGGGCAGAAGAGTCACGGCAGCTCCCAAGCACATCGCTCTCAACCGATTTGAGCCTGCCATCGGGAAAAACAAAGAGCAATCCTCTAGGAAGCTCAGCTCGCAAATCGCGATCTGAGGCATTCCGTGAAACTGCTCGCGATCTGAGGCAGAACGGAACGTCGGGTGCTCTCCGCTTCGTTATTCGACGTTCTGCCTCGCCTCGAGCGGTTCTCTGTCCTCATCGAGAATCGGAAACCATCATTTCGTGAAGATCTGCCTTTGACGGAACTAGCATGGCGGAAGACGACGAAAACCATGACCGACACTTCGTCTGTGACATCTGCGACGACCAAGGCACCATTACAGAGCTCAAAGGGTGGCGACAAACTAAACAGGAAATGGCCATTGCACCTGACACTGATACATGTATGTTGTGTGTTCTGTCTTTCTGCATCTGCAGGTACGACTGCTTTCTGTGTGGCATTCGGTCTTGCTGGACGTGCTTGCAGCAGTGGATGAGGGGAGGACAGATTCGGTGCCCCGGTCTGTGCCCGCAGGTCATCCCCAGAGACCACATCGCTGAGCACATGGGGTCGACCACCCCTGCCTCAGACTCCTCTGACGTGTCCACGGACGCGGGCGAGGAGAGCGTGCCGAGCGGCTGGTCTTTTCTGGATCGCTATGACAAGGCCCTCCTGAAGATGGCCCTCAAAGGTTGGTTGGTTAGCCATGGGAGAGGAGAGAGGTCCCGACAAGTGATGTGTTGCGTCGTACTATGTATCTATGGTTCGGCTGTGGGTGGCTGTGGCTGTGTGTCTTTTGGTGGTGTGCAGGTATGCGTGACGTCCGGTTCTGCCCTCGGTGTGATGTGGCATCGTTCCGGTCAACCCCCCTTCATGTCGACCGCGGCCTCACCGGTCCCTGGACGCTCGTCGTGGAAGGCAAACACATGCCCGTACTCTCCACCAAAACCAAGGTGGGTGGGCTGGTGGCCGGCTGACACGCCCATGCCAAGCGACAACTACACATCACAGGTTTTGCTTTTCGTCACACGCCCATTAGGCCCCCGTCCCCCTCCCTCCCTCCGCCCCCCTCCCCCCAATAAAGTACCGCCCTCACGAGCTGTTCGCGGCGCTGCGGTGGCACCACGACAGCACGTCCATCCACCCCATCCCCTCACCCGAAGCATGCACCAGGATCGTGATGGCGTGGCGAGAGCACCAGCCGCCGGACAAGGAGGTGCTGGCGGTTCTGGACGAGATGCAGAATGGCGGGTGCGCTGAGGGGCGGGAGGCTCGTGAGGCGGTGATAGCCAGCCTCGAGGGTGGGGGAGGGGAGGAGGACAATGCTGAGGGCCCGAAGGACAGTGACGGCGGGAGGATACCGTGCCCATATGTCGTCTGCCCTGCTTGGTGAGCGAGCGGGTGTTTGTCCTGACAGCCACCAAGCGAGCATTCACACCTGGGTTGATGTGTGTGTGTGTGTGTGTGTGTCGACCAGTGATCATGAGTTTTGCTTCATGTGCACGTCGTCGTGGCATCCTGGGGTGACGTGTGAGGTCCACGAGCGGGAGAAGCGTACCGATCTCGCCTCAGCCTATGACACGGGGGAGACCAGACGGTGCCCGACGTGTGCCGCCAAAGTCGAGAAGAACGGTCGGTGCACATCTATGGCTGGATGGATGGATGGAGGGAGGGAGGGAGGGAGGGAGAGGTGTCTGCAGCCACACCACCCAAGCAGCCACATGGATGGTCATTTCTCTGTCTGTCCATGTGTGTGTTGGTGCAGGTGGGTGTGACCATATGCTGTGCACCGAGTGTTGGACGGACTGGTGCTGGGCGTGCGGACGGCTGGACAGCGAGTGTGCATGCTGACATGACACGACATGCTGACATGACACGTTTTGGTTGGCCGCAACTGATGGCGGTGCGGTTTTTGGGGTGGGGGCTGCGGTGGATTTTGACAGTCACCGAATCGATCAAGATTGGCAGCGAGCGAAGGGTAGCCCTTGCTTAGGCGAAACCCGTTTTGTGGTGCTGTGCTGTGCTGTTCTGTGCCCTCTTCTCTTGTTTGTAAGAAAGACTGACTGCACGTGTCGTGTCGTGTGCTGCTGAGAGTGCTGAGAGCTCGTGTGGCTCCTTGTCCTTGTGGCCCTTGCAAGCTCATCGTCATTCTGCCCACCAGCCAGAGCGAAAAAAGAGCCACGGGGCTTCTCTGACCGACCGAAAAAGCGACGCACTCTCTGCAGACAGACAGACAGACAGACAGACGTGTGTGTATTTGTATATGTGTTATGGGACATGCCAATGAACAGTGTAATGTGTGTGTAGAGACCTGCTGGATCAACAGGCTAAATAGGCTGTGTGTGAGGTTACTCCTGTGACCGTAATCAATCCGTGGATTGAGCCAAGCAAGTCGCTGCTTCACATATCATGCACACATGCCATGTCTGTCTGTATGTCGGTATGCATCCCGTCTCGAGTCCATCCATCCATCCATTCACCAGTTTGTCCATCCATCCATCACGCACGGCCATTGTCCCCTCCCCCCCTCTCTACATCCCACCCACCGCCCAGCAGCTCAGTGTACGCAGCTATCCACACTTTACTGTGGTTTGTGTGCGCGAGGGGCAGTTAGGCCACCTTGCGCTTCTTGCGCTTCCTCTCCACCTCATTAGCCCCACCGTCCTGTCCCTTGTCCGCCTGCAGACGGCCCTTCTTGGCCTCGCCCGCCATCACCAAACCCCCGCCCTCGCCGTGCTGCACCCCGCCATCCACAGCACTCGGGGCCGCCCGCTTCTTATTGCGCCGGGGGCGCATGCGGTATCGGCGGCCGTTGTCCTGTGGCTGCTCTTGCACAGCAGCAGCAGCAGGGACCACAGCAGGGACGACGGCAGCGGCAGCGATGGCAGCAGGGGGAGGTGTCTGAGCATGGGGTGCCTGAGCTTGGGGCGCCTCGATGGAGGGCGGCTCGTAGACCGGCTCCACCTCGATGCGCGGCGTGTAGGGCTGGATGAACTGGCCGCCGACGTCAGCCGCCCAGTGCTGAAACTCCTGCACCCAACACACACACACAAATGAATGGGCCAGGAGAGGTGGAGGTGGTGCGTGTGAGGGTGATGGAGGCACTCTGCTGGTGGTGTGAGTTGGCTGGGTACCTGTTTGTCCAGATCGTCAAAGTAGGGGTGATTAACCGCCTCCGCCGCCGTCAAACGCTCAGCGGGGTCAAACCTAATCAGACTGACACACACAGTTGACAGAGGAATGCAGCCATGGGAGGGAGGGAGGGAGGTTGCTGATGGGCTGACGTACTCGTAGAGAAAGTCGAACTTCTCGTCGGTGATGGTCACGCCGTTCTCGCCCTCGGCCAGGGTCTTCTGGAACTTGGCGCGCACCTCGGCCTTGCTGCGCTGCGGAATCCGCGGCAGGGTAAGGCACTGCACAGACACACAGCCGGACGGACTCGTGTTTGTGCTTTGTGTGTCTGTGGTGCTTTGGTTCCATACGTGTGAGTTATACAGCGGCAGGTTGAGCGCCCGCAGTCTGCTGTGCGGCGGCAGCCCCAGCAAATCGATCATCTTAATCAGCGAGCCATAGTCAGAACCCATAGGACACTAACACACACAGACAGACAGAGAAGTACACACACTTATCTCTGTCTGTGTGTGTGTGGCTGTGTGTGGCTGTGTGTGTGTGCATGGCTCGGTCGGTCGGCGAGTGGCTGACTCACATCGAAGGGCGAGCGACGGCATCCGAGCATCTCAGCGAATATGCAGCCTGCACACACACAGACAGACAGACACACAAAAAGCATCCCGCAGGTGCCATGTGTGAGTCCCTCCCTCCCTCCCTCATACCAGCAGCCCAGATGTCCACGGCCGTCCCGTGTGTCCGCTGCCCCAGCACCATCTCGGGCGCCTTATACGATGGCGTCCCCAACGCAGTCGGGTTCTGATGAATGGCACAACGGATTCACACGTGTCGCTGACACATGGCGCCGCTGGGTCAGTGCGGTGTTTACGGTGTGCCGGACGGGCGGGGCGCCGAGGCTGTCCAGCAGGCGGCCGTGGCCGAGATTGGTCAACAACAACTTCTCACTGCATCCACACAGACACGTAGACCGACACAGTGGGTGTGTGTGGGGTGTGGGAGGTGTCGCATACCGTCCAGGTGTCGTGCTGTTGTTGAGCAGCACGTTGGCGGGTTTGAGGTCGCGATGGGCGATGTCGTGCGAGTGAACGTGGGCCAACGACAACAGCAGCTGTCCAATCCAACACACAGCAGATGGGGGGCATCCCATGGCTGTGTGTGCCTCTCTCCTTAGTACCTGGAACATATAGCGCTTGACCTGCTCGGGCGGCAGAATCCGCGGCACTTTGACCTTTCGCTGCATTCGCGAATGCTGACAGCACACACGATGGTCCATCCATCCGTCGGCTCTGTCGGTTTCCTTGGTTTGTTTGCTGGTTTGCTTACCGGTGGGAACATGCGGCGGAGGAACCTGAAGAGGTCGCCGCCGGAGGCATACTCCATGACCATGTAGAGCCGCCCCTCCTCGCCAGACACCCAGGCCTCCACCACCTTGGCAACATTCTCGTGCTTCATCTTAGTCAGAATGGCCTGCATCACTCACAGCCACACACACATCCACACCCGCCACACATCACACGCCCTCCCCCCTCCATCCCTCCCCACCTCACCACGTCGCGGACCGCCTCGACAGGGATACCCTCCCAGCAGGTCGAGAAGTCCTGCACCTTGGCTGCGAACAGACGGCCCGCCGGCCCTTTGCCCTTCTCACGTACCAGCACCACCTTGCCGAACGAGCCGGCGCCCAGCTCACCCAACGACATCGTACTTGGCATACAGAGTCGGGTCGTTGTATAGGTCAACCTCGCACGCCGACATGGCGAGTGCGTTGCCCTGGCTGGGCCTCCCAGATGGACGGTGGGCCTGTCAACAGCTGCTATGCCGTTGAGCACCTGCAGGCCTGTGGGGAGCGGCTGACCCGCTCGCGCTGGCCGTCTGATGGACTCGACTGAGGCCGGATGACCTGCCGCTACACTGCCGTCGGCGGCAAGAGCCTCCAACGCCGTCACGATGCCGTGGACGAGAGCGGGGGACGAGAGCGAGTGTCAGAGCCGATGAACGTCAGCTCAAATAGTCCCTTTCCATGAAGACCGGGCGGTGTTTACTGTGTGGGACGATGAATGCGGAAGAATGCACCCCCTCCCGCCTCTTTCGAGTTAGAGCATGATGTGGTACACGGCAGATCTGTGCAGTGTTTGGCGTTGAGGACTGCTCATGGATGCGGTGAGCGGTTGCGAGTTGGGAGGCTGGCATGAGTTTGTTTGTCATGGTCTTCGTGTGTGTGTCATCTCGCAGCTGAAGTCTGAGGCGGCGGGCATCGAGCACAGCCTGGACCAGTTGCTGCAACTGCAGTCAAAGGTGAGCATGAAGATACACGTGGTTGAGAAGCCCATGTGCTCACACAGCTTGACTTCTGTGTGGTGTGGTTGTTGCAGGTTGGTGGCTGTCTGTCGCAGATCAAGCAGCTGGAGCTGTCCAATGACGGCCCTGCACAGGTCAGTCAGTCAGGGCTGTGTGGCCCGATTGGTCGACTGACTTGTGGTCTTTTTTGTCTCTTCTCAACACTGCAGGCGTCTTGTCATGAGTCGTTGCGCCTTCAGCTGTCGCTGCTGGCCGGCCACTGCACGGCCTCTGTCAACCAGCTGTCGTGCTTGGCACCCGCCCTCTCCAGTGCCGTAGATGCGCTCACACCAGTAGGGGACGCACCGCCTACCATCAGCCCGGCAGCCGCAGCAACCGATGGGCAGACAGAGGTGCGCACGAAGAATGGCCACAACGGACTGTGCATAAGGGGGTTCGCCTTTTACCTTGCTGTGGTGTGATGTCAGGTGGCTGCGGAGAGGCGTCCGTCATATCGTCTAGTGCATAGGAGCGGCAATGCACCACCACCCGACGAGGACCCGGTAAGAGCCACGCATACATCAGATACACACATACCCACTGATGT